ACTCATGTCTTTGAAAATTGGTACAAAATCCATTTCCTTTAGTGTTTCTTTCTACATTTTGATGAAAAGAATTTATATTTTTTTGGCATTGTATCTTTTTTTTCATTGTTAAAGTGAAGCCTGTTAACATTTTGATAATTGTACTCCAAAGCATAAAGGAATTTTTATTTTATTAGTAATATTCGTGAATCATTTTTCAGTTATGTAGGTAGGTATTGATATGCTCTGTGAGTTTGGACGATGACACCGCGTATGATAATTTATTTTAAATGTTGACCATAATTTGTTGATAATTAAATAGAAACAAAGAGTACTAAGTAGTACCAAGGGTCAACAATAATCTATTAACGGTAGCTTAATGTTTGTTTTTATTTAAAATTGATAAACTATAAGATATTTATATATATTTTTGCCATTGACCTATTGCCCTCACAAGTAGTAAAATAAGTTTAACCAAAATAATACATCGTTTTTGCATGACTTTATATTGTGTTTCTAAAATATTTCAACAAGAAGTTTCCCATGAACTTTGATCTGAAAATACGGGATGATAAAAATGTACTAGTAAACATTTTTTTAAATAACTAAAAAAATTGATCGTTTGGGATTGAAATGAAACTCGGTGAGGAATTTTTTTTTAGATAAAAAGAACTCAATTAGTCTATGAGTCTTTGTCACTGTGAATAAGAAAAAAAAATATTCCAGGAGATTATTGCAATCCATATAAACGCCATTTTGGAGTTAAAATATATGTGCATTTCGAATTTATGTGTCTATAGGAATATATCTTGTCGCCTGAGTTATGCCTTTCAAATGAATCATTTTTTTTTATTTACGCTGTGATCGAGGCATTAATAAAATTTCTTGTTTGTGAATGTGAAATGTGTTCATTCCTATTATTATAAAAGATTTAATGAAAATCAGATGCTACAGACTCTTTGGTAGTTTTATATAATTTTTATGTTCATTGTGTAGTGTGTAATACCCTGGTGCGTGTGATCGATAACACAGCCCCATATAAAAAAAAATGGGAGGTCCGAAAGACAAGACCATGGAACTATATGTTTTCGGGATCACTGAATCCGAATCCGATGTGTATTTGACCCGATTAGCTCTGACTTAAGATCAGTTCAATCAATTGCCAACAAAGTAAACTTATATATCTACTTGTATTTGGGGATATTAAAGAACTGGAGAGTAGTTACCAAGGCAGATAGGATATAATCATGTTACCCGATTACGCTTGTCGTTAAAACGAGATTCATCATTGAAATCGAGAAATCGTAAAAGAAATCCACTTCACAGTCTTTTGATAACAAAATAGTTCGATACCACAAAAGTGGTATGTAGTCTTGATACCATAATAGTGAGATATAATAGTGATTTCATGGATTCATCAAGGAAAAAACCTGTTATCTTGAAAAACTGTTCTCAAGAATCTCAGTCGACACGGACTTACTGTGTAAATTAATGTACATGGAACATTAATAAACACATTGATTTAAAGCTTACGTAATTATTGATACTAAAATTTTGACATGTCAAAACAATTACCTCGAGAGTTACGGGCTCGGAGTTAAAGCTTTCTTTCTTTCTACTTATTTAAAATTTTAATACACATAAATGCTCAACTTGAGAGTTTTGAGTATAACTTTGGAGTATTTAGCAGACCTGATCGGTCAAACGGACCCCAGATTTGGATTCAGCGACCCCAAAAACGTATAGATACATTGGTTTACATTGTCGGCAATTGTTCCTCTACATTTGCAGACCTGATCGGGTCAAACGGACACCGGATTCGGATTCAGTCACCCCAAAAACGTATGCATATGTGGGTTGACTTTGTTGGCAATTGATTCTGTACATTTGACCTTGAACTGACCTTAACCCAAAGATAATCGGGTCAAACGGATATAGGAATCAGTTTCAGCGACCCGAAAAATATATAGATACCATGAAATAATTTCAAATATTCTAAAAAAAATGTGTACCAAATTCGGCGATTATTAAATGTATGGCGTAAAAGAAGTAATTGAGAGAAACAACACAGTCAGAGTTAAATGTAAAAAAGATGTAGGGGAATCTGCGCAGTAGTTTTAACACCTAATAAAACAAAATATGTTGTCTTTCCTTCCACCCTACGGCAAAGTGAGACATAATTACTCCTTTTTCCCAATAATGGTATTGACTGCACAAGCAATTATCCAGCTCTATTATATGGAGTGTTTCAGGATAAATTAATTACACATAAAATTTGAATTCAGGCAGTCAAAATAAGAGGAAAAAGTCTTATGATGCAATATCTGAAAAACTTTTGGGCTAATGACTTACTCCACTAAAGGTAAAAATCTACTGGATAAATATAAATACATCAATCACTGGTGGAGATATGTAATCAGTCATTCATGAGAATGAGATTTATTAAGAACTCCAGAAATTTTACACCAGTGGACATTTTGGAAATTCAATTCTTGATTTTAGTTCTTAATGGTATCTCTGTCTCATTTTATTCACAAAAGGTGTCCAAAAATTAAACTTCGTATTTTTGGTAAATTTTGTATAGTTTTTAGGACGCTTCGTTAAAAAGATACAGGGTGTTAAATTTAAAAAATGCAAATTTTTTAAAATCATTTAAAAACTAGTAAGTGAAATAATGTATTTATGTAGATATTGTCCAAAATCTGAGGCCTTTTCTTAAAATTTGGATTCTTCAATGGCAGAGATACAGGGTATTGGTGGCATATTTTTCTAAATAAAATAGTACGTCATTGCTTTATGATATCATGATATTTTTGGATTCGTCTTTCAATTTTCTACAAACTCTTACGTTTTTTGAAAAAAGCCTGATTTTCGAGTAAAACTTAAAAACAAACTGAATACATACTTCGATATTCCAATAAAATGCGGTTTAAAATTACATACTACATTGCAATAGCAACTTTGACAGTCTGATCAGTTACAAGAATTCTTTTCATCAAATTCAAGCAACAATAAATTTCGAACAAATTACATTTTCGTTACCAGAAAAATTTCTGGCCTGTGTTCGTGGAAATGGAGGTATTATTGAACATTTTTACTCAAATAAAATCATTAAAATGATGACTAATATTATTAATTTCTTTATTCGAATAAATAACCGAATGATTAGTGTTTGTCATGTCATTTAAGTAAAAGTGTTTTCAGTTCGTTTTTTAAGGTTTACTTGTATGTCAGGCTTTTTTCGAAAAACATAAGAGAGTAGTAATTTGTAGAAAATTGAAAGACGAATCTGAAAACATCATGATTTTTACCGTAAGTGGCATACTATTTTATTTAGAAAAATATGCCACCGATACCCTGTATCCCCGTAACTGGATCATCTAAATTTTAGGAAAAGACCACAGATTTTGGACATTTCATACATACATGTGCTGAATTTCAAATTATTTAACTTGCTAGTTTTTAAATTATTTGAAAAAATAAAAATATTTTTTGAAGTTTAACACCATGTATCTTTTTAACGAAGCATCCTAGATAAAAACTTTATACGACAGACTCCTCTTAAAATCCACCAAATACGAGGTTTCATTTTTGGTCACCTTTTGTGAATCACCTTGTACATAGACAGATTCATTAAATTTAATTTTTAATTAATTAATTGTTATTTGCCCAAATTTCATCATTCTACAGGCGTCTTCAGAAATATTTTGGAAAATGTTACATTTTTTCCAGTTTCAACTCATTGTATTTAGAAAATTAATGCCAATTTTTACATGCTGTGGTGTGACATCCTGCATATGTAGAATAATATTTCTTTGACCTGTTTTGTCTTAACAATTAGTATCTTATGATTTCTAATTATTCCCTAAATAAAACTATTGTTTTAACAATAACTTATTTATTTAATATCTGTGTAAATGGGAAGAGGAAAACATATTACGATTCCTTTAGGACTAGATTTATAGAGAAACAGTCACAATTATATCAATTAAATGTAATATTAATAAATAATTGTAAACATTTAAAATGTATAATTAATCTTACAGATTTTAGAAGATAACAACAATAAAAATATTAGTCATTATTTCTAACAGCTACAAAGAAATTCATCTATTATTTATAAAAATATATAGTTTAATTAAAACACCATTTAATTATACTCAAGACTCAAGTATAGACACCACATAAGCTATTATTTGTAACTGCACAAAATAAAAACGATTTCTTAACGAATCTGTTATTATTGAAAAAAGTTCTTAATATAGAGGTAGAACCAGAATATAACTTGTTCACTGGGTTTTATATAGGCTAAACGTAATTCAGGTTTTAAATATATACAGGGTATCTCGATTTATAGGTGTATAAGCCACTTACTAAGTTGTTAATTTACGCGTCAGCATGATCTACTCAATTTTTTTTTCAGTTGTAGATTATTTAAGACAAAGTGTAAATTATTTTTACATTAATTCGCAAAAAATTAAATAAATAAATTATAAAATAACAAAACTAGTTAAAGTATAATAGGGGATGTTTTTAAAATTGCAGATGAAATTTAAAAATGAATGGATCTATACAGAATTAAGACATTTTGAGGGGTGTAGAATAACATTATGTTACACTTCTGATTAAAAAAATTGCCAATTTTTAAAAAATTGGCACAAATTTTTTTTGAGGAAGTTATAGTTTCCAAACATAGGTGTTCTTAAGTTATTTTTGAGGAAAAATATTTGAACTTGTGTTTTACTTTTTATGAAAATGGCCAATACACCTTTAAATCGGGACATCCTGTGCACAATGGTAAAATTGACTTTGTGCTTAGATGTTTTAAAAATTTAAGCGTAATTCATTGAATAAAATTTTGAATCATTTGCAGCTGATAAATATCAAGAGAAAATTATAAAAATTTTGACGTCACGATGGCAACCAATTTTTTTACATAAAATTGAATCTTTATGGTTGTGGGAAAATAGGATAGTTTTATTAGTTTCGAGTACTGAAATTAATTTAATCAGCTGACGTGATATTCTTCTAAATGGTTTATTCACTGTTATCTCAACATTTGCCTAAAATCATCTATTTTATAAATACTAGTTGATAATCTACCTAGAGCATTCATCAGCGACACAACTTCGTTCCTGTGAAGTTGGAAATTTTTCTTGTCGTTGACGTGAATGGAGCTGCCGTCTTTGATGTGATCGAATTTTCCATTGAACAATATTTTCAGTGCTGTGCCCAACCCTTGCGTTTGTAATTTGCCCCACAATCGGCACTTATCACATCCAACACAATCCATGATTCTAGTAATGTTTCTGAAGTGCTGCTTAAACTCGTACTTGAGTTTTTCCGCTTGCTCGCTGTTCCGGAACATTGTGGTTTCATCGAAATGCTCAGGGAATTGTTTGACTACACTTAATAGGTCTTTGACTGCCATCTGTGTGTCCCAATCCTCTGGTTCGTTGCCTGAAAAACAAGTATGCAAAATTAAAACGCTTGAAATAAAAAAATGATTTTTTCACTTACCTGTATAATATTCCTCTCTTTCTAAATATGGCGCAGCTTTAGCTAAGGCTCTCAATTCAACCAAATAAACAAAATAGAGATTCCTCAGCCAATTTGGTCCCTCCCCGTTAGTCGTTTCTGGGGAAAATCTCTTTACGAATTCTTCTAGATTAGGACCCCACTTTCCATCAGGGTCAATTAAATCCATTCCTTTAGAATCGGACAACAAATAATTAGCGCACAAGTGAGTGTTGATACTGGCATGCAATCCTGATATAGCCCTGTAGAACACTCTTTCTTCTAAGCACAGTTCGTTTAGTTTAGCGCTTTGGATGTAAGGATTGAAACTGAAGGATTTCTTGGGCCGGAAACAGTTTTCCAAATAGATGCTCTGCCATATTCTTTTAGCTGATGGACCAGCATATCTGTAATTAATAATGTAGCTGTGCAAAATAAAGTAAATACTTAGTTGACAAATTATATTTATTTCTAGTAGAAAATATAATATAACAGAGTGTGCCATGTAACATACCCACTAGTATTTCTTTAGAAAGACATTTTAAATAAGTATCAGTATATAGGACAGAGTTTAATTCTTGACACGGTCCACAATTTTTAAGGCTGCCTGCGGTTAAGTAGAGGCAATTTGTTATTTTGCACACTTTTAATATGAACAGAGAAATATTTAAAAAATGAAAATTAAAAAAACGATGCTTTGCAACACCATGAGCCAACAAAAGAATAACTTGCACTTGGTTCATGACATTTAGATGAATTTTAACATTTTGTCCTTTCACTAGTACATTCGTTAAAAACTCATGATTTTTAAAAAGACAATAGTTTATAGAACATATTATTTAAATCACAGAATTTCTTTGTTTCCTACTTTTTTATTTTTATGGAATGAAGTATTTCTTTACACAACATTGACATTAAGATATGAATATGATAAAATACTTTTGTCAAGTAGAACCTTTCAGTGCCATCGCCTTTAGCTAGTACTGTTTTGAAAACAGCCTATCAATTTCTATGGAAACGCTAATGGAATTGTTGAACATACCCTTTATATAAAATTTTAAAATTATTATGATGAGTTTTAAGCTAATTTGCGTACTATGTGGTTAATCGGAAGCAGATATGTAGAGTGGGTATTTAATAAAATAACATGCTTTATTTTAGAATATTGTTTGTTAGTAACTTAGTGTAGAGGTTAGTCATTAAAATGAAATGTTTCCCTACATACATACCCTACTACGTACCCGGTATATCTCTCGGGATTTAACAGCAAATCCACGTATTCCGCCTCCTGATCATTCTCATCGATATCACAGAAATTGTCCAAAGCGTCATCGTACGCGTCCCAAAGCTCCATGTTCTTTTGGGCTTTTTTGGATATGGTTTTGTTTAAATAATCTAATTCGCCGTGATGTGAAGAGCAGTCTTCATTTGCTTTTCTTAGATATTTTTCCTTGCCATCCCCGTTTGTTTCTTGTGTAAAGCTTGCACCTTTGATTCCTACAGGGATGTCATCTTCCTCGCACGATTCTACATGACAGTAGCGTATGGCACACCGACTGTCATCTGTCCAGAAAGGACACGGCCTTTTTAGGTTCACCTGAAAATTGTTATTTTTTGTAAATATAGTGTTTAAACTATAATTGAAAAATATTGAAATCCCAAGCTTTTAAATGATGGCATAAAAACAAAGAAAACAATGCAGTATTGTTTTTTTTATTTAAAAGGTATTGGGCTAATTCCTCCTATCCTATCAAAGGAAGTTATGCTTTATTTTTTAAATATATATTAAAGGAAAAAAAAACCTAGGAAATAGTGCACCTATTAAGTATCTGGGATATAATTTAAAAAATAATACCTGAAAATTATAATCTCTATATTTTTATTGTTTTAGATGTTAGGTACGCAATGGCATCTTCATTTTAGAAAAAGTTAAGTGTTTTAGTGTTATTTATATATTTGTTTTGTTATTCTTAGAGGATGTCTGGAAGCGAAATGGTCTTTACTTCAAAGACAATTTTGTTAAAGTATTTACTTACATGCTATTAAATTTTTTTTTTTAGTCACTTTAAAATCATTATGTTGTACAGGAGCAGGGTGTTCCCTAAGAGAGAACAAATCCTATATAATTTAAATTGCACCGTTACTTAGATGTATATCCATTTGTTTTATAAACTACTCTTGTATATCTAATCGTATGTCTTTTTCAACATTTCCAGTATAGGGACTTTAATTTTCAAAGTGACCCTGTAATATTGTACTTACAAAAATGTGTATAATACCTACTACAATATTAAAAACAGGATCTTTGTCTAACCAAGAATGTATAGGTATAATGAATTTAAAACCCCATTTAAAAATTATCTACCAGTTACATGTTGCTAAAACATTGAAAATAGTTGTATTATAAATTATAATTACATACTACCATATTATGAAAATAAATTGTGAGAAGCATAACAAATACACGAAAGGTAATAAATTTGACCTATAGAAGTTTCCCATATGTTAACAGCTATGTGCCTACTTAGTGTTAATACGCTCAGTAAAAAAAATTGAGTACCTTATAAAATCTGAAATAATCTTTCACAAGGAGACTTCTTAATCGTGGGAAAATTTTCACATTATTGAAATGATCAACAGTATCGATGTTACAAGTACATTCATCTATTTTTCCTGATAATTGACAAAAACAATCATCTTGTTTTTCTAGGTTAAAGTAAGCAAAACACTGTTCAAATATCACAGCACACAATAACACGTTTAAAACACTTTGTAGCAGCATTGTTAGTATTATTCAGGATCATCTCGGTGAGGAGTTACAACGCTAATGCAATGAGAGAGCCGGGGAATTCTTTTTACTTTACACAGGAAATTTTGTTAGCAAACGATTCCTTTACACGTAAACCGTGAGCTATAGTTCTGAGATTTGACATGACTATCAAAGAGCGGACGCCACCGTGTCTGTTCGGCTCCTGTCGGATATCGGTAGGCGAAACTGCTTCTGCCGGTTGGTGCAATTTAAATGTGTCGTATTTATGAGAACGAATGCTACGATTTTGTTTGGTTCGATAGTCATAGCATAGCCAGAAAGTAATTTCATATTTACGGGAGACGGTAAAGCTATGTACAAAATAACGTGCAATTTGACACGTTAAAAAAATAGGTGGTATTAAATTTGTGGGATATAGTAACTGTAAATGATGTCATAAATATTTTGTGGAATGTTTATGTAGGAATTTATTTGAAATTATATCTATTTTAGTATTGAATTGTACCTAATACTACCTACGTACCTACTTTTTCTTATTTCATGCGAATAAAATATAAATGCAATTAAATTTTAATAAATACACATAACGGCATACCTATTTCATTCTTAGTGTCTTTAAACAATTTTCCAGTACTGTTTTCAATTTTAATGTATTTTTTAACAAATTTAATACCTATATGTATGTAGATAGGTACGGTGTTACCGATTGTGCCTTGAAGAAGAAAAACTTTTATCCACATTTATGAGAAATCGTCATTTATAAAAACTTCAGCTTGTTGTCAAACTCTTAAAAATTGAAAAGTTTAAAAGTGACTACAAGGAATTAATTTTTTTTTAATATTGAAGAGATATTGTTAAGAAATCCATAAAGGTCGTAATTGTGAAGTTTTAATAGTTGGGAAAGAAAATAGGTAATCATTTCATATCAGTTTTGCTTTGAACACATTTATGATTCCCGTAACTAAGCTAGAAACTAATTAACAAATGACAAATATCATTAAAGTCGATCGAATTCAGATCAAGACTTCTTGGAAGTCGTAACATTTTACTACATATTCCTGTCCAATTATTGAATTACATATTATGAGGTATCTATTGCTGGGTTACTCTGAATTCTGAAATGCTTCTTGGTATAATATTATTTATACCTTTAGCTTAGGGTACGGCCATAACGTAGCAGATAGCACGACACAGCACCACAGATAGCTCCGCAATGAGCATGGCCCAATAACGCGCGTATTGAACGAACCGCGCTTTAAGGTTCAGAGAACAGTATATTTTTAATTACTGAATAATTAGCATGTTAAACTTGAGTTTTTCTTCATCTTTATAGTCGGAAAACACTTAAGAAAAATATAATCAGGATTTAGCCTGGCACGTGGTGCCAGAGTATGATGCTAGATACGGTGCTATGTGCGGTACCTGCCTTACAGAAAAAAAAAACAATGTACTGAAATTTGGTACAGGTTAGTGTCGAAAAGTGGTCAGTGTTGTTTGTTAGCTTTTGACTGTCTGCTGGAGCTCGCAAGCTGCGGTCTTACCCACTGAAATTTTTTCATATATTTTTTTTGACGTTAGGTTTTTTTTTCATTTTACATAAGAATGTTGAAATCGCCGAAAACGTACCGTTTTCGAGAAAAAAGCAATTGACTTTCCGAAAGTAATCAGCTTCTTTAATATACAGGGAATCTATTAGGCTATACTTCCTCAGATATATCCTTTTAGATCAAGTCACCTTAGTACACTTTTGATTCTATAAAAAGATATCAGCATTAAAAAAACCTTTTAATTAGTTTTAACTAATACTAATATAAAATGCACTTTCCTGTACCTTATCGATGGAAGGCTTGTTTTTAAATTAGTGTAATCACTAATCAGTATGGGCGAAGCCAGGAATTTTCCCAGGGGGAGGCCGAGAGCCAGTTTATTGAACAAAAAATGTGAAATCATGGTTCCAGAAATACAAAGAATATGTGATTAAACCGAGGAATTTAGTGCAAAAATCTTCCCACCCAGCGGCCAAAAGCAATAAAGTGGTTCAAACTGATTGTTTTACACTAAAGTCTCAATTATGTAAACAAATATATAATATACTTATTTTTGTTTAAAATTTTATATTGATTAAAACTATACAGAATGAGTGGCCAATAATAACAATGTATTTTTTTAAACTTGCAGCATGCAGCAAGAATTAGGGGGCGGCCGTGCCTCCCATGCCCCCTGGCTACGCTCATAGTAATCAGTGAGATAATAAAAAGTAAACAAGTATTATGAAACGTTTTTCGTTGTAAATGAAATTACGCATGCGGGTATTTTCAGAATTGTGGATTTGATAACCAAAACGTATCATAAATTAATCGTTTAACAAATTGCGTCCGGATAAATGGAATTATAAAATAATTATTTTATGAAATGAAATGAAGTGTGGATAAACCATACTGTTATCTCTGGAATTTTCCGAGTATATGTCAGATCACATTTGGGTAGTATTATAATAATAATGTCTGGCTTAAAACAAATTTTAATCTATAAATATAATTTTTTGTAATTTTGCATCCGTTCGATCTGTTATCTATTTTTATCATTCATGTTATAATAAAAGTAATAAATATATCTAATACGAGTATATCATTGATGGATTCAATACTTAATAGATAAATAAGAGTACTTGTGTTGAATTTATCACAAAAAGTATCTGATGCAAAAATAATTTATACTTATATTTTTTTATTTCTATTTGCTTATAATATAATAATAAAAACAGTTATACAGAGTGTTCTACAAGCTCTATGACAAACTTTGGCATATGGTAGCTGGGTTAATTATTTCAAACATTTTTTCTTATGTCATAGGTCCGATTCGATTTTGTAGTATTTAAAAAAATATTAAATAAAAAAGATTGTTTTCCAAGAAAGTTCTGTACATAACTTATTTGCATTTAAACGATCATGTACGGCAATAAATTATTATTGAAAATACTACCCCAAACTTGACACTGTAACGTTGCTGAAATTGTCTTGATCTAATTGCATGCGGATTTTGTAGCGCCCAGATATGTTCATTATTACTATTATTTATGCTGTCTTTAGTAAAACACGCTTCATCAGACCAGATGGCAAACTATCATGTGCATGTTGAATAAACCAGCGACAAAATTTTAATAGCTGAGGAGCATCTCCAGCAAGTAACGCTTGTACGTTTTGGCGATAAAACGGATGTAACAATTCTCTGTTCGATACACGCCTACATAGAAAGTTTAATCATAAACTGACCAGTACTAGTGCGGGTCTGATTATTATTATTATTA